TCATCACTCATTCAATCACTCATTCACTCACTCACTCATCACTCATTCAATCACTCATTCACTCACTAACTCATCACTCATTCAATCACTCATTCACTCACTCACTCAATCACTCATTCACTCACTCACTCATTCACTCACTCACTCATTCACTCATCACCTCGTCACTCATTCACTCGTCACTCATTCCCTCATCACTCACTCAATCACTCATCACTCATTCACTCATCACTCATTCACTCATCACCTCGTCACTCACTCATTCACTCATTCACTCATCACTCATTCACTCATCACTCATTCACTCATCACTCATTCACTCGTCACCTCGTCATTCATTCACCCATCACCTCGTCACTCATTCACTCGTCATCTCGTCACTCACTCATCGCTCATTCACTCATCACTCATCACTCATTCACTCGTCACTCATTCACTCATCACTCATTCACTCGTCACTCATTCACTCATCACTCATTCACTCGTCACCTCGTCACTCATTCACTCATCACTCATTCACTCATCACTCATTCACTCGTCACCTCGTCACTCACTCATTTACTCATCATTCATTCACACATCACTCATTCACTCATCACTTATTCACTCATCACTCATTCACTCGTCACCTCGTCACTCATTCACTCATCACTCATTCACTCGTCACCTCGTCACTCATTCACTCGTCACTCATTCACTCGTCACTCATTCACTCATCACTCACTCATTTACTCATCATTCATTCACACATCACTCATTCACTCATCACTTATTCACTCATCACTCATTCATTCGTCACCTCGTCACTCACTCACTCATCACTCATTCACTCGTCACTCACTCATTCACTCGTCACTCATTCACTCATCACTCGCCACTCATTCATTCCCTCGCTCGCTCATTCATTCCCTCGCTCGATCATTCATTCCCTCGCTCGCTCATTCATTCGCTCGTTCATTCATTCGCTCATTCATTCCCTCGCTCGCTCATTCATTCGCTCGCTCATTCATTCATTCGCTCGCTCATTCATTCGCTCGCTCATTCCCTCGCTCACTCATTCATTCCCTCGCTCATTCATTCATTCCCTCGCTCGCTCATTCTTTCCCTCGCTCTCTCATGCATTCCCTCGCTCATTCATTCATTCCCTCGCTCGCTCATTCATTCCCTCGCTCATTCATTCCCTCGCTCATTCATTCGCTCGCTCATTCATTTCCTCGCTCGCTCATTCATTCCCTCGCTTGCTCGCTCATTAATTCCCTCGCTTGCTCGCTCATTCATTCCCTCGCTCATTCATTTCCTCGCTCTTTCATTCCCTCGCTCGCTCATTCATTCCCTCGCTCATTCATTCCGTCGCTCATTCATTCCCTCGCTCATTCATTCCCTCGCTCGCTCATTCATTCATTCCCTCGCTCGCACATTCATTCGCTCTTTCATTCCCTCGCTCGCTCATTCATTCCCTCGCTCATTCATTCCCTCGCTCCCTCGCTCATTCTTTCCCTCGCTCGCTCCGGCCAAATGTACTCATTCACTTTAAACACCAAACACCCCAATGTATAAACGCATGTACCTCTGCATCCGTTCACTCATTCATTGACTCAATCGCTTTTCTCGGTCTTTCACTTACACGGCATAATATTCGTGAACTTACTCATTCACTTGCACAGGTATTCACTCAGCGACGAGCCCAGCCACTCACCAACCCCACTTACCTACCCACATGCTCCATCACCTGCTCACCGACTTACTCACCCGCTCACCCACCCACCATTTTACCCACACCTACTCACACACTCGCTTGCCCACCCTACTATTCACTCATTCACTCACCTGTTCACTTACCAACGCGTTCAGGGATTCACCCGCTCACTCAATCTACCAACTCACCCACTTACCCAATCGCCTACTTACACACCCACTCACTCACCCACCCATGTCTTCACTCGCTCACTCACGACTCAAATAAGCGCTTCCTTAACCACTCATGCACTTCTACGGGTCCACTTACAAACTCGCTCACTCGCCCATTCACCCACGCGCACACCGACTCACGGATTGCCTCAGCTGACCACCAACCCACCCACGTCCCCACTCACAAATCCGCTCACCAACTCGCCCACACGCTCACACCCGGCGACTATGAATGGGGGGAGCTGTGTCCCGCTAAAGACATCAAAGAGACGAACGGCGTTCCACAGCGGCGCTAAAATCACTGTGGCCCTCCCTACACGTGTACACACACACACACGTGTACACACACACACACGTGTACACACACACACACGTGTACACACACACACACGTGTACACACACACACACGTGTACACACACACACACGTGTACACACACACACACGTGTACACACACACACACGTGTACACACACACACACGTGTACACACACACACACACGTGTACACACACACACACGTGTACACACACACACACGTGTACACACACACACACGTGTACACACACACACACGTGTACACACACACACAGTACCACCTACACACACAAAGATCAAAGACAAAGATCCCCCGTGTAGCCTTAACAGACTGTAGGGGCAAGTGCTGTTAGCGAGCACCTATGAAGGCCGGCACGGCACACGAGGGGGTGGGTGGCCAGCACCACGCCCGGCCACCTTTGTCTCCCCAGTGGCGATGTTTACACACCTGCACCAGGGACTTATTTAAGGCTGAGTCAACCTAGGGGAGGCCCAGGAGCGGTTCAGATAATCGTCACTGGGTGTTGGCCGTGAGCGGGAATCGAACCCGGATCGCCGGGTACATAGCGCCGCGTAGCGCTGGGATGTTGAGTTGAAAATGTTACTTTACGCACACACACAGTACCACGTACACACACACACAGTACCACGTACACACACACACAGTACCACGTACACACACACACACACAGTACCACGTACACACACACACAGTACCACGTACACACACACACAGTACCACGTACACACACACACAGTACCACGTACACACACACAGTACCACGTACACGTACACACACACAGTACCACGTACACACACACAGTACCACGTACACACACACACTACCACGTACACACACACACAGTACCACGTACACACACACACACAGTACCACGTACACACACACACACAGTACCACGTACACACACACACACAGTACCACGTACACACACACACACACAGTACCACGTACACACACACAGTACCACGTACACGCACACAGTACCACGTACACACACACAGTACCACGTACACACACAGTACCACGTACACACACACTGTTCCAAATATACAGAGCCTTTAGGCATCCCTCGATTTACGAAAGGGATGTGTTTTTTACAACAACAACAACAACAAAACCACGCGTAAAACGACATTTCGTGAATCGGAAATTGATTTTCCCCATGAATTTAAACACGAAAAATGAGGGATACGTTTCGGACAGTCATTCCAACTCTACTCCTAACCTACAAACATAATGCACCTATATCACTGTTTCAATGGAAAATAATTATAATAATAGAGAATATGCCTATCAGAATAATGATAATAATAATTCAAACGTTTAATGCGCATTCCATCCTAGGATCCCGACGCACAATGCATGAAAAGCAGGAAACAAAAACAGAGCCCATGTCCCAGCGACGAAACGAAGCGAGGAAAGGCCACAGCGACGGGGTTTTAGTACAACCACGAATTGAAGAATGTTTCTAATTAATGCAAGACAAAAAATAACCCTTTTCAGGGAACTCGTCAAACTATCTCGCACGGAGGGGTGACGCGGGAGGGGAGGGTGACGCGGCGGGGTGACGCAGGGGGGTGACGCGGGGGGGTGACGCGGGGGAGTGACGCGGGGGAGGATGCAGAGGCTGTTGCTGTTGCACTACAGGGGGTCAGCCGTGACACACTCACGTGGGGTGGACTGTGATGTCACGTGGGGTGGACTGTGATCTCACGTAGGGCGGACTGTGATGTCACGTGGGGTGGACTGTGATCTCACGTGGGGTGGACTGTGATGTCACGTGGGGTGGACTGTGATGTCACGTGGGGTGGACTGTGATGTCACGTGGGGTGGACTGTGATGTCACGTGGGGTGGACTGTGATCTCACGTGGGGTGGACTGTGATGTCACGTGGGGTGGACTGTGATGTCACGTGGGGTGGACTGTGATCTCACGTAGGGTGGACTGTGATCTCACGTGGGGTGGACTGTGATCTCACGTTGGGTGGACTGTGATGTCACGTGGGGTGGACTGTGATCTAACGTAGGGTGGACTGTGATCTCAGATAGTGTGGACTGTGATCTCACGTGCGTGGACTGTGATCTCACGTGGGGTGGACTGTGATGTCACGTGGGGTGGACTGCGATCTCACGTGGGGTGGACTGTGATGTCACGTGGGGTGGACTGTGATGTCACGTGGGGTGGACTGTGATCTCACGTAGGGTGGACTGTGATCTCACCTGGGGTGGACTGTGATCTCTTGTAGGGTGGACTGCGATCTCACATCGGATGGACTGTGATCTCACGTGGGGTGGACTGTGATCTCACGTGGGGTGGACTGTGATCTCACGTGGGGTGGACTGTGATCTCACGTGGGGTGGACTGTGATCTCACGTGGGGTGGACTGTGATCTCACGTGGGGTGGACTGTGATCTCACGTGGGGTGGACTGTGATCTCACGTAGGGTGGACTGTGATCTCACGTGGGGTGGACTGCGATCTCACGTGGGGTGGACTGTGATCTCACGTGGGGTGGACTGTGATCTCACGTGGGGTGGACTGCGATCTCACGTGGGGTGGACTGTGATTTCACGTGGGGTGGACTGTGATCTCACGTGGGGTGGACTGCGATGTCACGTGGGGTGGACTGTGAGTTCGCATGCCGAGGGATCGCTCAACAAGAGACGGAGCATCGCGCTCACGCGAACCTTCGCAGACGAAGCGTTCGCGAGTTGTCGAGATGGCTGACGGGGTCACCCCGCGCGTGCTCCTCACCTCTCTCGTCCCGCACGGGCGGGGGGGTGCCGGACGCGATGCCGGCGCTGTGCGCAAGCGACGCGGAGTACCACACGCGGAGCTCCTCGCCCGCCGCGATCTCCCGCACCGTGCGGTAGAACACCTGCACCACCGCACGCACCACCGCGTGCACCGCGTAAGCACCACCACGCACGCACCACGCACCAACACGCACCACGTAAGCACTACGCACCAACATGCATGCACCAATAGGCACTCACCACGCATGCACTCACCACGCATGCACTCACCACGCATGCACCACCACGCAACCGTGCACGCACCAACACGCACCACGCACCAACACGCACCACGCACCAACACGCACCAACACGCACGCACGCACTACGCACACACCAACACGCACGCACCACGCACGCACCACGCACGCACCACCACGCACCACGCACGCAGCAACACGCACCACGCACGCACCAACACGCACGCAGCAACACGCACCACGCACGCACGCACGCACGCACAACCCCATGCACCACATGAGACGGGACCAGGCCCACACCTGTACCCAGCCTGTGCACCAGCGCCCCCTCCACGTGTGAACCCCGCCAACCTAATGAGCCAATTCTCTTAATTGCCTTAATTGTAGTGACACTTCCTGAGGCGGGTTGGGGTGGTGGTGGTGGTGGCTGGGAGGAGGGGGGTGTTGATATTTGGCCGAGAAGTTTATGGCCGTGATGCGTGGGACACAATGCCCAGTGGCAGGGCGTGAAACGCTCCGGCGCGGAGCAGATGCGCGCTTTGTGAACGACATTATTGTGTGTGCGTCTCTCCCCTACCCCCCGCCATACTCATCGAGGGCCCGGGCCTGTGATAGCGCGAGGCTTGAGGTCAGCGCTGGGGTTAAGGGTGAATGTTAGGGTCAAGGGTTAAGGTTGAGGGTTAGTGTTGAGGGTAAGGGTTAGGGTTGAGGGTTAGTGTTGAGGGTTAGGGTTGAGGGTTAGGGTTGAGGGTTAGTGTTGATGGTTAGTGTTGAGGGTAAGGGTTGAGGGTAAGGGTTAAGGGTTAGTCTTGAGGGTTAGTGTTGAGGGTTAGTGTTGAGGGTTAATGTTGAGGGTTAGTGTTGATGGTTAGTGTTGAGGGTAAGGGTTGAGGGTAAGGGTTAAGGGTTAGTCTTGAGGGTTAGTGTTGAGGGTTAGTGTTGAGGGTTAATGTTGAGGGTTAGTGTTGAGGGTTAATGTTGAGGGTAAGGGTTTAGGGTTAGTGTTGAGGGTAAGGGTTGAGGGTAAGGGTTAAGGGTTAGTCTTGAGGGTTAGGATTGATGGTTAGTGTTGAGGGTTAGTGTTGAGGGTTAGTGTTGAGGGTTGAGGGTTAGTGTTGAGGGTTAGTGTTAAGGGTTAGTGTTGAGGGTTAGTGTTGAGGGTTAATGTTGAGGGTTAGGGTTTAGGGTTAGTGTTGAGGGTAAGGGTTGAGGGTAAGGGTTAGTGTTGAAGGTTAGTGCTAAGGGCTAGTGCTGAGGATAAGGGTTGAGGGTTAGTGTTGAGGGTTAGTGTTGAGGGTTAGTGTTGAGGGTAAGGGTTTAGGGTTAGTGTTGAGGGTTAGTGTTGAGGGTAAGGGTTTAGGGTTAGTGTTGAGGGTAAGGGTTGAGGGTTAGTGTTAGGGTTAGTGTTGAGGGTTAGGGTTAGTGTTGAGGGTTAGCGTTGAGGGTTAGTGTTGAGGGGTAAGGGTTGGAGTTGGGGTTAGAGTTGTGTATTGTCCTTATCGTTAGGGATGCGGATCAGGGTTCGGGTCAGGATTTAGGGTCAGGGATAGGGGTCAGCGTTATGAGATCGGTTCGGGGATAGGGGTCAGGGATAGAGTTAGGGTCACGGTTAAGATCCCTGTAGTCGGGGTTCGGGTCACATTCTAGAGACTGCGAGGTGGTGTGTCAACATTGGGGGGTGGGGGGTGGGAGAAATCTTCCAGGGGGTCTGGGGGGTCCCATCCCAGAAAAATATCAAAATAAAAAAACTCATTTCCTGCCTAAAATACAAAAAAAAATTCACTAACGCATGAGATGGACTTATTATTTATGTTTTAACAATAATGTCTAATAGTGTTATTGTATTTACATTGCTCTGTTTTAACTTGTTTTTATAATTTCTTGTTTCATCGTATGTAATGGCAGAGATTAGGGATTAATAAAGTGCAACCATAACCACAATCATATAAACATACATCTACGAATTGATTTATATGAAGACAAGTCCACATTTTGTGGCCAAGGTTTATCAAATTGTTATTTTTATTTACATAGCAATTATTTGTATAGCAATATATTGGGGGGAGGGGGGTGATATTTTGAGCATATTTATTATAATTACGGCCTTGGTTTACGGAGACCCCTGGGAGACCCCTGTGGGACCCCAGTGGGACCCCAGTGGGACCCCAGTGGGACCCCTGTGGGACCCCTGTGGGACCCCTCTCTCCCGTAGTAGCGGGAGTGGATGGGGGGGGGGAGTCACCTTGGTGTCCAGTGGGGGTCTGAACGCCTCCAGGTTCTGCTCCCCCGCGTAGCGCGCGGGTCGCACCGAGGGTAGCCAGGTGCACGGCGACTCCCCCAACTCGCTCACCACGGAGCCCCCCGTGAACCGCACCTACACCAGCAGGAGGCACAGAAACGTTACACCATCAACAAGTTTACACCATCAACAAGTTTACACCATCAACAAGTTTACACCATCAACAAGTTTACACCATCAACAACTTTACACCATCAACAACTTTACACCATCAACAAGTTTACACCATCAACAAGTTTACACCATCAACAACTTTACACCATCAACAACTTTACACCATCAACAAGTTTACACCATCAGCAACTTTACACCACCATCAACAACTTTAAACGATCAACAACTTTACACCAGCAGCAACAACTTTACACTATCACCATCATCAGCAACTACATCATCATAATCAGCTAAACCACCATCATCACCAT